GTGGATTCCTGATAATGGCGGACTTATATAACTAATTATATTTAGTATAGAATATCTATTTATTGCTTGGCCTGTTATCACACCGCCGAAACACTAAATTAGTGTCGGATCTAAGTGAAAACGTGGTTCGTGGCTTGATGGGAGTCACTTTTTTACTACATATTAAAACTAAATATTACGAAATAATTGACGATTTGGATTTATCAGTGCTCCAAAGGAATATTGAAAATAAAATCAATGAACTTAAGGCAAATGGGTATCTAGATAAAGTTACATATAGATTTTTAATGGATATTACGTATCCACGAATAGGTAGATTATACTTACTACCTAAACTTCACAAATTAGATCAGACGATGTTTGATCTTATCAAAGAACAGGGCCACTGCAATCAAGAAATCATTTGCCCGGCACGACCTACTATCTCGCAATGTGGGTCGGCGACGGAACGAATCAGCCAATATGTTGATTACTTCCTAATACCAATAGTCAAAACACAATCCATTTACATCAGAGATAGCTCTGATTTTGAAGACTTAGCAAAGGAACAGCCACTAGCCGCGTTAAATGCCTTAGTTTTTGATGCGGCTCTGGGAACGAAAATTGAACCCTTGGGCCTCAAGAGTTCAACCCCCGTCAAACCCGTAGGGTTCATTTTGTACCTTGGATTAGTCCATGGATATAATATAAAACTTTTGATATGCATAGTGAAAGAAGCTGTTGAAAATCTTCCCCGTTTTATGGAGCGCCGTTAAAAGGGGGGGGGGGGGGGCAGACACTTGACTTTTATAGATACATTTGTGTATTATATTTTTGATAACATTTTTAATTAAATATATTGTTATACATGCGGATTAAAATGAAACCAAAGCAATTCTTACGATGTTTATTAAATCATTTTACGTTCCAGTATATATTTTTAATACAGCCGTTTTATATACTCACTACTCATATGATTAATCAACATGTACTTGCATTAATATCTTAATCCTGTACGTTAATGGAGTCTTTATTTTTTGTTTATTTAGAATCTATTTTATTAATACCAACTTAATTTTTAGTCAATCACAAACCAAAGTCCTTCAATGTTTTCAGTAAGTGATACACAATTGTGTAAGTTCAAAAGATACTTCCAAACCATATTTCTTATATGAGTATTTCATGCGTAAAATAAATTAAAAATAATTAAACATTTTTCAACATCATACGGTGTGCATTTGTAAAGATTTACATTCAAAATATGCAAAATGTAAATGCATCAAAATTCACGTCATAAAAATTATCCTAATCCTTAAACGAAACAATCTTTTATTCGTTACTTTAATTTGATATATGTCCGACATAAATAAACAATTTTTGATCATTTAAATTTAGAAACATGCATAGAAACCTTATGTTTATAGACCTACCCTCAATTTTTCATAACTTGACCACCACTTGTTATTTCTAAATCACGTGACTTAGGTGATCGATGTTGGAAAAAAAAAACCCCATCAGAATCAATCAATAGAATGATTTAAGTTATATAAAACCTCATTTTTAAGTGATTTTATCGTAGGCCGGAAAATGCCCTTATAGAGAATCATCCTTTGATTCCCTATGGTGGTGCCACGCTATCCTTTGGGGTCATAATTTGAACAATTTAGAAACTACACAACCCCAGGATGCTTCAACAATAGTTTCAGCTTTTCTGGCAAGTGGTTCATGAGAAGAAGATTTTTAAAGATTTTTCCTACATATTTCACTGTAAAACTTTGATTCCCTACTGTGGCCCCTACCCCTGGGGGCCATGAATTGAACAATTTAAAATTTACACTAACATAGGAAGCTTCCACATACGTTTCAGCTTAAGAGGAAGATTTTTTAAAGACCCCACCCAATTTTTGTCTTTTTTAGATTATCTCCTCTTGTAAGGGGGGTTGGCGTTTCATGTTTACAATTTAAACTCCCCTTCACCCGATGATGTTCTGTACCAAGTTTGGTTAAAATTGACTCAGTGGTTCTTGAGAAGAAGTTGAACATGTGAAAAGTTTACAGACGGACGGACAGACAGACAGACGGACGGACAACAGGTAATCAGAAAAGCTCACTCGAGCTTTCAGCTCAGGTGAGCTCAAAATCTCAAAAGGGTTGAAATTATTTGAAATAGCATATACACACTGAAGAGAGCAAAAAGGATCATTTTCTTATACTATAACACAATTTTTCTATATTAGTAGGTCATCGCTTCATTTTTTTTTTTGGCAGAGTTTATCCTCAAAGTTTGCGTAAAAACATTAATTTTCTATATAAAAAAAAATAAATATGAAAACCAATATCAATCACAGAAAATAAAGAAACTGATTTATTATGGTGAAAAATTGATATACCAAATAATTGTGTTTAAATATTCATGTTTTTAATAGGTGTGAATATCCTCTTCGTTCAATTATTATTATTTGTTTCTATACTGTACTGTACTGTGATTATCTTAACAGTTCAGAAATGACTGTCGCGTAAGAATTGTAAATATTTGTTGATACCACTCAGAAAGAAATGATCACCAATTTTAACTGCCTTTTATAGTTACATTGTTTGTTGGTAAACTCATTCTGAGTAAGCTCCGTCCATTAAATTAATTAACCCCGCCCACTGGGACTGCTGGGACTGCTTTCTGGGACCGCTGGGACCGCTGTGGGACTGCTCTGGGACCGCTGTGACTGCTTTAGCAGTCCCAGAAAGCTGTCCCCGGGACTGCTCTGGGACTGCTTTGTGTCAGGTTGGGTCTGGTTGGTACTGTAGCAATGTATTTGTCACGGGGGTTAAATACCATACCCATGACGTCATAACTGTTGATCAGTATTTGATGAATGAAAGTGAAACGTAACGAGAATTCATGTAAACAAACACTAAAACATATGAAATAGGAATTTAAAAGCATTTAACATGAATATCATGTGTGTTTCATGCGGAATTAAAGCTTATGAATACGGTACACTCATTTATTTTTACAATTTCTTCGTATAATGAAGGCAGACAGTGTTTTTACATCCCGATCAATCTTTCCTCTGTTGTTCGTGATAACAAAGATGCAAAAAACTCAACACTACGCCGCATACTTTGAAACATAATTTTTGTTTATATGGAAAGTTCGAACTCTATAGTTTTTGGAAAGTGCCGATAGAATCGTGTGGTTAACGGGAATTTATGAAATTTTTTCGATCTTATGTTCAAAATGTAAAAATTTTGGTAAGGTTTTATCATAAAGTGTTTAATAATTATTTCTGTGATAGGAGTGTAGGATTCTAGCAGCACTTTTCATGGTCCAGAGATTATTTAACATAACTTTAGTTAAAAATAGAAATTAATTATCCCTGGGGTAGTGTTGAAATTTTCACATTTTCATTTAGGCATTTTTTTCCATATATAGACGTCACACCATGACGTCGTGGCGGAGTGCTTCCTTGAGTCTAAGACTCATTGAAGTCTATAGAAAGGGATATGATAGTATATGTTTTATCCATGACTTTTCCAATTTATCAATGTAACATATTACAAAAAAGTGTAAATTCGCCGAATTCTGATCTGTGTGCTACCTTAATATACTTGCGTTGTTAGGTTAACAGAAACATGGAACAAAGACCCAATCGTATTTGCATCCATCCTAGAAATAGTTGAAATCCATTTAGTAAAGGGTCATATCAACAATTCATCAGGACTTATGTAGTCTAGTGGTTAGCCTGTTAGTCTCGAAAGAAAATGATACTCAGGATTTTTATTGCCATGGCTCGAACCTCATGAATACCACATCATTTTTTAATAACAGAATATTTTTTGCCGAGGAAATTCTCCTCAGAAAAGTTTTGTTCATGATAATTTCATAAATATCAATAATGAGAACTTGAATCTTAATACTAAATTCACAAATTGAGCATGATGTTTATATATCGGAAGCTTTAGGCATTCTACACACATTGTTCACCAATCTCCTTTCCAGATTTTGGTGAAGGGTTATGAATTCATTGTAATCATAAAATCAGGATGCCAACTAAATCTCTCATCAACATGTTCAACACATTTTCAACAAATCCTAATTAAAAAAGAATCGCATTGTCTTTTATGCCTGATAACTTGCAATCTCAGTACGTGAATTGCAAATACCTTGAGAGGTATGTGTCACCAAAGAAGATGGGCGAAGAAAATGCCTATGGCTTCACATATTCAGTTTGTGAATTTAGTAAAGATCTTATTATCGGAAAGTCGGAAATAATGACAAACGAAACTTTTTCCGCGGAAAATTCTTTCAGAAAAATATTAATCTAATATTTCAAAAAAAAAAAAAAAAAAAAAAATGTGGTAATCTTTGGGTTCGGAAAAAAAAATCCCGATGCTTAGACAATATCTTTCTTTTAGAGACTAACAGGCAAATTAATAAGCTACAAAGATCGTGCAAATATGGGCATTTAATTTACGTTTGTGAAATGACCTTGACTAAATTATAATGAATTTTGAATAACTAATAATGTATCAGGAAAATAATTTTTTTTTAGGTTTAGTTGGTTTTCGCCCAATGTTCTTGTTAACCAAAATATGAAAAGTTTTAAGCATACTTTAAGTATGATCTTTCAAAAAAAAAAATAATAAAAAATAAAGGATGAAGACATGAAGTATGAAAATATGATAATTTTTGCCCTCTTTTGTGTCTTTCTGTATCTATATGCTATTTAATTCTTAAAGGAATAATTTCAATCGAGAGATATTTGCAAATTTTCGGAGATTTTACAAAAAGAACACATTAATGTTAAATGAAATAGCTAAAAAAAATTGCCATAATTAATTGAGATTTAATTTTTCATTTTTCGTTTCTCATACAATAACCATTATGCTCGCCTTGTTATCCCATCCTCTTTTAAAATAAAAATGTACATATGTATCTCTCTTCTACACATTTATTTGTCAAAGTTCAACTGAAGAAACAACACAGTACAGAACACAAAATTAAAAAAAACAACACAGTACAGAACACAAAATTAAAATAAATACAAATTATATGAATATACATCATGCATAAATCAAATACATACAACTTATTTAAGCATACATGATTCATTTCATCCAAATGTACTTAAGGACAATCATTAAAAAAATCAAAAAAAGGAAAATCTTCAAATTCTACTTTTTCGTTGGAATGAGCCACCATGTACTTGAAATACTAGTAGTGAATAATTTCCTACAAACATCACAATACTAAGGTTTTTCACCTGTATGTGTCCTTGTGTGTATCTTTAAGCTAAATAATCGGTTGAATGCCTTTCCACACACATCACATTTAAAAGGTTTTACACCTGTATGTATCCTCAGGTGTCTATTTAAATCCGAATTTTTACAAAATGCTCTTTGACACAAATCACATTTATGAGGTTTATCTCCAGTATGTGTCCTCATGTGTCTTTTTAAGTCTGTTAAATATTTGAATGTCTTCTCACATACATCACATTTAAAAGGTTCCTCACCTGTATGTATCCTCATGTGTCCCTGTAAGGTATCTGGTCGGCTGAATGCCTTTCCACACACATCACATTTATATGGTTTATCACCTGTATGTATCCTCATGTGTCCCTGTAAGGCATCTAATCGGTTGAATGCCTTTCCACACACATCACATTTATAAGGCTTATCACCTGTATGTGTCCTCATGTGACTCTGTAAATTCTGTGACTTTTTGAATGTCTTTCCACACACATCACATTCATATGGTTTATCACCTGTATGTATCTTTATGTGTTTCTGTAAGGAGCCTGAATTGTAGAATGCCTGAGCACATACATCACATTCAAAAGGCTTATCACAAGTATGTGTCCTTATGTGTGTTTGTAATTGGCCTGATTGGCTGAACGCCTTTCCACATACATTGCATTTATAAGGTTTATCATCTGTATGTGTCCTCATGTGTTTCTGTAAAGAACTTGAATCGTAGAATGCCTTAGCACATACACCACATTTAAAAGGCTTATCACAAGTATGTGTCCCTCTATGTTTTTGTAATTGGCCTGATTGGCTGAACGCCTTTCCACACGCATCACATTTATAAAGTTTATCACCTGTATATGTCCTCATGTGTTCGTGTAAAGAATCTGATTCGCTGAATGACTTAGCACAAATATCACATTTAAAAGGTTTATTACCAATATGTATTCTCTTATGTCTACATAAGTTACTTGATTGGCTAAAGTCCTTTAAACAGACATCACATTTATAAGGTTTATCACCTGTATGGATTCCTATGTGTTTCCGTAAGGAACTTGAGTCTTTGAATGCTTTAGCACATACACCACAATTAAAGGGCGAATAGCTTGAATGTGTCACGTGTCTATGCGAGGTACTGGAATTGCTGAATACTTTACCACCCAGGCCTATGTCACAATCATAAGGTGTTTTACTTGCTTGTGCAATGATTTTTCTTTCTGAATCCATTGTCTGATTATCATTAGCATTATAGTTGGATGACTTTCCAGCATCACTCTGACTATGTGAATTGGTTGAACACGCTGCTTTTTCCCTCTGTAAATTTAGCAAAAAATTGTTCAAGTAACTTTTTTGATGATAATAAGTGGATAAATCAAATATTAGAAATGAATAAACCAGCCTTTTGCAAACATTTTTGCTGTTTTCTTTTTTTTTTTTTATTTTACAGGTGAATAATACAAAATCCATTTCGGTAAATATCCACGTGTCTTCTTTTTATATTTCTATATATTTAAAGCAATTTAGTTAAACTATATTCTAAATATATTGCTTAAATAAAATCTAAATTTTCAAAATAATAAATAAATATATAAATCAATAAAAAGAAAATTTCAAAAAAAAAAAAAAAAAAATAAAAATTAAAAAAAAAAATAAAAAATCAAAAAAATTCAAAAACAGAAGAAACAAGATGTGTTTGTGAAAAACTTGATGCCCATGTATGGCAACTTATAGCAAAGGTTAATCTTTCTCAAATGCAAATCAAATATGTTGGTACCCAAAGTAAGATCTTGTCTCCAGGAATATACCTGTGAAATATGAAAGCCCTAGCAGCAACCATTGAATAGATATGTTAAAGGTTAAAGTTTTTGGAAAAGTAAGTCAAACATCAGGGCCAAGGTCAAACGGTCAAACTTAATGGTGCCTAAGGAAAGGCCTTCTCGCAAGAAATATACTGGTGAAATATGAAAGCTGAAGCACCAATCGTTCAAAAGTTATGACCAAGACTTAAGTTTTTCAAAAGTAGTCAAACTCCAAGGTCAAGGTCAATCGATTACAATTGTTTGTATCCAAAGGAACGTCTTGTCACAAGGATTACATATGTAAAGTATGAAAGCCCTAGCACCAACGGTTCACAAGTTATGGCCAAGGTTAAAGTTTTTCAAAAGTAGGTCAAACTCACGGTCAAGGTCAGGGTCAAAGTTGTTGGTATCAAAAGGAAGGTATTGTCACAAGGATTACATATGTGAAGTATGAAAGCCCTGGCACTACTGGTTCACTAGTTATGGCCAAGGTTAAAATTTTTCAAAAGTAGGTCAAGCTCCTAGGTCAGTGTCCAAGGGTCAAAATTGTAAGTACCCAAAGGAAGGTCTTGTCACAAGGATTACATATGTGAAGTATGAAAGCCTTAGCATCAACCGTTCTAAAGTTATGGCCAATGTTAATTTTTTTCAAAAGTAGGTCAAACTCCAAGGTCAAGGTCAAAGGGTCAAAGTTGTTGGTAACCAAAGGAAGGCCTTGTCACAAGGATAACATATGTGAAGTATGAAAGCCTTAGCAACAACCGTTCTAAAGTTATGGCCAATGTTAATTTTTTTCAAAAGTAGGTCAAACTCCAAGGTCAAGGTCAAAGGGTCAAAGTTGTTTGTATCCAAAGGAAGGTCTTGTCACAATGATTACATATGTGAAGTATGAAAGCCCTAGCACCAATGGTTCACTAGTTATGGCCAAGGTTAAAGTTTTTCAAAAGTAGGTCAAACTCCTCGGTCAATGTCCAAGGGTCAAAGTTGTTAGTATCCAAAGAAAGGTCTTGTCACAAGGATCACATGTGTGAAGTATGAAAGCCTTAGCACGAACGGTTAAATAGTTATGGACAAGGTTAATTTTTTTTCAAAAGTAGGTCAAACAACAAGGTCAAGGTCAAAGGGTCAAAGTTGTTGGTATCCAAAGGAAGGTCTTGTCACAAGGATTACATATGTGAAGTAAGAAAGTCCTAGATTGTTCAAAAGTTATGGCCAAGGTTAAAGTGGGGTAAAATTTACAAAACTGGGTCAAACTCCAAGGTCAAAAGGTCACATATGGTGGTACCCAAAGAAGGTTTGTCACAAGGAATATATATGTGAAATATGAAAGCCATAGCTCCAACCAATCAAAAGTTAAGGGCAATGTTAAAGTTTTTTCGGAAAAAAAGACATACAGACAGACAGGCGGACGGACGGACAGGGCAAAAACTATATACCCCCGAATCTTCGATACGGGGACATAAAAATTCCTTGAATTTTGCATCACAACTTAGTCCTTTCTGAAACAAGGGAATCTTTGGTACAAAAATCAATTTTTTTGCTGTAAAAATAACATTTTTATAAGCAAAGCCCACTATTACTAGTTTATAAAATCTATGAAGGAAATAAATGAATATCCAAACCCAGCAATTCGTAAGCAACATTTGTTTATTTTACCACCACTAAAAAAATGACTTATTTTTAAACCCAACTTTATTTGATCGACTATATCATAAACATTTGGCAATTTCATTTAGTTTGCTTATTTATTGTTTAATGTCCCTCTCGAGAATTTTTTGACTCATATGGAGACACCACCATTTGCCGGTGGAGGGCTACTAATTTATACCTATACTCGGCGCTCATGGCAATTGAGTAGTGAGGGGTTTGTTTTCGTGCCTCACAGGACCTCGGTTTATACAGTCTCATCTGAAGGAGCGGTCTCCACGTCCCGCAGTGGATTTGAACTAGTGACTTAAAGATCAGCTCCTTACTTCGCGACTCTAGAGCAGACACTCTAACCATTGCGTCACGTGCACGACGAAATTTGATTTAGAATCAGAATTTGATTAGATACTTTGACTGACCATATTTAAACGTTGGGTAATATGATATACTGTCGTAAATTTTATGATACTTTGATTTACTGAAGTACAATCTTTGAAACATTACTATCGTAAAATCTTTCATTAACAATAGTACAGAAAACTTCAAACTATAGGAAACCTTGTTCACATTAATAATTCTCGATTAGGTTGATGCCTGACATACTGCTAATCAATTACTGATCGACAAGAAAAGTACTGGGATTTTAAGGGATGAAAAGTAGGGGGAGGGGCTAATGAAAATACACAACTTATCAAGTATATGATTTAGAAAGCCGTTTCAATTTTCCTTTCTTAAAAATAGATCCGAGTCGTATAGCACCTCATTTTGATGCTTAACAATGTCAATGTTGAGGTTAATTTAAACGTTCAATTGAAAGAGTTATCTCCCCAACTATGTATTAACCTTCTACTATTTATGTTTAGTAAATATCAAATAATATTGATTCTCATTTCATATTTTGATAATGCACAGTTCCACAATTGGAGAAACTCCATAGCACATCCCTTGAAATAGGCATGGTACACCATTACTGTCGACAATTTGTATTCGCAATTCGTAAATACAAAACTCATAAATATCAATTTCTTAGACTGTGAAAACACTCTACATGAATAACCAATAAAACAAAAAGCCCATGGGCAACAACGCTCACCTGAGGAACTTTGGCCCTGTTCTTCACCAGATTCCCCCCTTGAAATACTTATTGTGGCCACTCCCTACCCCTGGTGGTCATAATTTGAACAATTTAGAATCTACACTACGCCTGGAGGCTTCCATATAAATTTCAGCTTTTCTAGTCCAGTGGTTATTGGGAAGAAGATTTTTGAAGATTTCTTCTACAAATTTCAGTGAAGAACTTTGATTCCCTATTGTGGTCCCATCCTACCCCCGGGACTATGATTTGAACAATTTAGAATCTACATTACCCCAAAAAGCTTCCAAGTAACTTTCAGCTTTTCTGGCCAAGCGGTTTATTAGAAGATTTTAAAGATTTTTCCTACATATTTCAATGTTTAACTTTGATTCCCTATTGTGGCCCAACCCTATCCCTTGGGGCCATGATTTTAACAATTATGAATCTACACTACCTCAGGAGGCTTCCACATAAATTTCACCTTTTCTAGCCCAGTAGTTCATTAGAAAAAGATTTTTCCTATATATTTCAATATAAAACTTTGATTCCCTATTGTGGACCCACCCTACCCTGGTGGGTCAAGTTTTGAGCAATTTAGAATCTACACTACTTCAGAAAGCTTCCAAGTAAGTTTCAGCTTTTCTGCCTCAGCGGTTCCTGAGAAGATTTTTAAAGATTTTTCCTATATATTCTAATGTAAAAATTTGATTCCCTATTGTGGTCTCACCCTACCCCCAGGGGACATGATTTGAACAATTTAAGGTATCCGATCCATACATGTAATAGCCTCTAATTCAATAAAATTGAATGTATAACAGATATATATGGGCTGAATACTCGAATATTTAGACTTATCATGTTTTATTGTCAGTATGTAAGAGTGCAATGTGTCCTAATCTATGATCTTGTCCTGTCCTTGAAGAGTTATTCATCTTTGCTTTAAATAAATAAAAATCAAATCTTAAAAATCTTTTTGGTAAAAATTTAGTTTTCAATCGTTTTTCTATTTCATATGAATAAATAACTTTTTTTTCACCACAGTATTAATTTTTATTCATAGTAATCAAAATTTAATTCTCAAAAATGTGCTTGTCCCCATAGACTTCAATGCAATCTTCATTGATTATTGTTTAGATAATTAACATTTTTGAAAATTGTTCTTGGTAAATCCTTTTCTGGCACTAAAATGTTTTGAATTAATATCAGAGTATTTTATACATGATGATTATTCAAGGTTGGAAAATTAGGTCCTAATATGGGTCGGATGCCTTAAAATCTACCCTACCTCAGGAAGATTCCACATAAGTTTCAGTTTTTCTGGCCCAGTGGTTCTTGATACTATTTTTAATGACCCCACTCTATTTTTGTCTTTTCTTGCTTATCTCGCCTTGGAAGGGGGCTTGGCCCTTCATTTTAAAAATCAAAACTTTTCATCACCTAAGGATGCTTTGTACCAACTTGGTTAAAATTGGACTAGTGGTTCTTCAGTAAAAAGTTGAAAATGTGAAGTTTACAGATGGATGGACAGACGAGGACGGACGAACAACTGGCCATCAGGAAAGCTCACTTGAGCTAAAAAAAAAAGTTGATGTGCTGGAAAAATATTTGTGAGTATTAGTATATCGCAAAATTTGCATATATTTATTGCAAGCGAATAAAAGTTAGTTACGTAAATACATGTGCAATTGATTTTTCATGAATGAAAGAATAAATAAATAAATATATAAAAAAGTTTTCTTCCAGAGATTTATTTGTAAATAATTTGTAAAAATTGCACAGAAAGAAAATAGAGCAAAAATACTAAGTACATATGTCAAAGAAGTTGATGTGGAAAAAAATAACCCATGATCACGATAAACATCATCAGAAACTCCAAAATGTATCTATTTCAACATCAGTGAACGAGAACTGTCCAGAATGGAGCAATACCCCATGCTGTATTTTTCCCCCCAGAAAAGGTAACCAAGTCACTAAAGTATTTAATGGATAGAATTGGTGTTCACAATTTGTTTAAACATAGAGAGTGAAAATTTTATTGCTCATTTGATTTTTTTTTTTGAATGATTAATGAATGATGAAGTAAGCTGCAGCCTAATAGAATTTACATCAGAAATAACACCAGCTTGATCAGAGATGTTCAAACAGATGTGATTAAGACAGCTTTCCCACTGAACTCAATTATTAATCTTCAACTGGGAGCATGTCCACTCATTACCCTCAAGGACGAATGGATTTACACGATCTGTTGTGTGATGCACTGTTAAGTCTGCATTTTTGTAGTACAATATAGATGCACGTTTATGATTGATTGATTGTATGTTTTTCCCCAATAGACTTGTATTCCTGTGCAAAATTTGAATTGCTTTGGGGCCATGATTTGAACAATTTAGAATCTACACTATCTTAGAAACTTCCACGTCAGCTTTTCTGGCCAAGATGTTCTTGAGATGAAGGTTTTCCACACATATCTTGTATTATTTTTTACTCTCTGCATTCCTGAACTCTTTTCGACGCACATCAAATTTATCAAGACCTTTATCAGCATGTAATCTGAATTCTTTTTGCAAATATTCAGACAGATTTATAAACCTTTTTGCATAATTGCCTACAGAATGATTACCAAAACATCAGTAGTGTTATCCGTCTCTTTCATTTTCTTGTCTGATGAACCAGATTTGGAGATATTTCACATTGACAGGTGTATTACTGACATGCATTTTCATGTCTTTTTAACTGACTGTATGCCTTCATATCTACATTTATATGTTATCACCTGTATGTTTTCTCATGTGTCTCTTTAAGCTATATGTTCTGTTAAAGGCCCGTCCACACACATCACATTTGTAAGGCTTATCACCTGTGTGAGTCCTCATATGGTTCTGTAAGGCATCCGCCTCAGAGAAAGCCTTCCCACACACATCACATTTATGAGGTTTATCACCTGTGTGTTTCCTCATGTGTCTCTGTAAGTTACTTGACTGATTGAATGCCTTCCAACACCTATCGCATTTATAAGGTTTTTCACCAGTATGCATCCTCATGTGTACCTGTAATTCTCCTGATTGGTTGCATGCCTTTCCACATATATAACATTTATAAGGTTTATCACCTCTATGTGTCCTCATGTGCATCTTTAAAAGGGCTGAATGCCTGAATGTCTTCAAACATACTGTACATTGGCAAGGTTCATCCCCTGTATGTATCAACAAATGTTTCTTTAGATTACATCTGTCACTGAATGCCTTTCCACACAAATCACATTTGTATGGCTTCTCACCTCTATGTGTCCTCAAGTGATATTTTAAGTGTCCTGAATGGCTAAATGCTTTTCCACACACTTCACAATTATAAGGTTTCTCACCTGTATGAATCCTCATGTGTCTCTGTAAGGTACCTGACTGATTAAAAGCCTTCCCACACACTTCACATGTATATGGTTTATCACCTGTATGTATCTTCATGTGTGTCTGCAAGTTGCCTGATTCTGAAAATGTCTTCCAACACACATCACATTTATAAGGTTTATCACCCGTATGTGTCCTCATGTGTTTCTTTAAAACTGCCGATTCCGTAAAAGCCTTCTCACACACATCGCATTCATAAGGTCTATAACCTGTATGTATTCTTATATGTATCTTTAAGTTATAAAATCGGTTGAAGAGTTTTTCACACATATCACATTTATAACGTGTATTATCTGTATGTGTCCTCATGTTTTTCTGTAAGGTACCTGACTGATTGAATGTCTTTTCACATGCATCACAATTATAAGGTTCAACACCAGTTTGTGATTTCATGTACCTATAAATGTCTCCCGATACAGAGAATGCCTTCCCACACAATTCACACTTAAAAATTTTCTCAATGGTTTGTCTCTGTGAGTGATCTGAATGAGTTGAAGCTTCCCTAGTGTTACATTTACGAGGCTTTTTACTTACATGTGTATTGGTGTATCTTTCTACATGTACATTCCCTGTCTGGTTTTCATCTGAACAATAGTTCTTTAACAGTTCAGTCTCTTTTTGAATATTTGAATGGGTTGCAAACACTGTATTTTCTTTCTGCAAATGTGACAAAAACATTATTTTTATTGCTTTTTGAGGCACGTCTCTGTCAATGTGAGTATAAATAACAAACAACCACACATTTTTTAAGAAGTCAACAACATACTAGAGGCCCAAGGGCCTTAACGGTCACCTGAGTATAATACAACAATTTAGAAGTTAAATACACTGATAGATGAAGCTTTGTTGCCCTAAAGCATGTGAAGTAGGAAGATCAGGATCAACAAAATAATTAGTCTAGTATTCAGTATCAACTCATAAATTAAGTTCTAATTTGTCCCCCACTTAACACTATCACCATGCAGACTATTAACAAACTATTAGTGCCTCTGTACTATTTTTAAATCCATATTAATACCTCTAGCATTGACCTCTCTTGTGGTCTTTGAAGAACTTTTAATAAGATAAGTTTTTTTTTGTCTCATTTTTATTTATCTATTACTTACAGGTCTACCTGATTATTAAAACTAAGAAAGTACTTTTTTAATTATACGATAAACATTCTTGCATAATTATCTTATTCTATTAACCTTTCAAATACATTATTTACAGTGATTAATTATCAAAAGTGAATGGAAAAGGGGAATAACTTCTCTCAGTAGAATACAAATTAATAGAGCCCTGCCCAGGACCAGAATGCTTAGACAAATGGTCCAGATGTTTAAAAATTTGGTAGAAATAGGCTTACTCATATCATTTTAACTTTTACTCAGTTTGCTTCCGATATGCCCAGAAGCAGAGAAGAATTTCACAGGTACAATGCATTTTCACTACAGATTCAACAAAGCCTTACCCTAACACCAGAACCCAAGACCAAGGGTCAAGAAATTTACAAATTTGGAAGAGTTACCCTCATCATCATAACTATGGCCTTCAAAGAACTAATACTTTTCCACTATATTATCAAAAGCCCCCCCCCCCCCTCATTATGCCAGAACCCCTGACCCTAGGACCACAAGATTTAAAAATTCTGATCGAAGCTCCCATTTTCATCATAGCTAAGCAATTTATTTTTCAGCTCAACACTAAGGAGCAGACAGGATTAATTAATGATTAATCAATAGAATTAATGCTTTTTCACTATATAATCAATAGAGCCCCCCCCCCCTCCTCAAGAAGCCCAAAAACTGAGGCCATATATTTAAAAATTTTGGAAGAGGCATCCTTGTCTATCATAATCATGCACTTAGTTTGTTTAAATAATCTCCAGTAGCAGAGAAGAAGATTTTTAAAGAATCAATGCATTTTCACTATATAATCAATAGAGCCCCACCCTAACACCTGAACCTCTGACCCTGGGGCCATAAATTTCACAATTTTGGAAGAGGCACTCTTGCTCATCATAACTATGTAGTTAGTTACTTTATTTAATACCCAGGAGCAGAGAAGAAGATTTTCAAAGGAATAATGCACTTTCACTATATGTTCTATATAGCCCCACCCTGGGGCCAGAACCCCTGACCCTGGGGCCATGAATTTCACAATTTTGGTAGAGGGCTCAATGCTTATTACAATGATGCCAACAGTTTGACTGCTTGATGTCCAGGAGTAAAGAAGAAGATTTTCAAAGATTGCATTATTTTTGGTGATTTTAGCCCCACCCCTCAGGCCCCAGGGGGGCAGGGACCATGAAATTCACAATTTTTGTTCCCCTTCACCTATAGATGCTATATGCCAAATTTGGTTGAAATTGGTTGAGCGGTTCTAGAGAAGAAGTTAAAAATGTTCAAAAGTTAACGCACGATGGACAAGGCACGACAACGGACGAAAACAGATAGCAATAGGTCACCTGAGTGACTCAGGTGACCTAAAAATCTGTGTTGTTTTCAGCCATAAAATAAGGTAAAGAGAAACATTAAAAAGGATTCAGAGATATGTTATTAAATTTATATTAATTTATTTCTTTATTTATGTTCATATAGATAAGGTAATAAAAATTCATACAAATTAAGATTATTTAAGATTTTTTTACAATGTCGTAAAATATTGGGAAAATGTGTTATCTGTCTCTTTCATTTTCTTGTTTGATGATCCTGATTTGGAGGTACTTCACACGGACAGGTGTATTACCGATGTGCACTTTCATGTCGTTTTGACTGACTCTATGCCATCTTACATACACATCGTTTATACGTTATCACCTGCATGTGTCTGCATGTGCCTCCTTAAGCCATATAATCTGTTGAATGCCCTTCCACATACATCACATTGGTAAGGTTTTTCACCTGTATGTATCCTCATGTGGTTCCGTAAGCCCTGAGCTTCAGTGAAAGCCCTTTCACACACATCACATTTATAAGGTTTATCATGTGTGTGTGTCCTCATGTGTCTCTGTAAGTTAAATGACTCACTGAATGCCTTCCAACACTTATTGCATTTATAAGGTTTTTCACCAGTATGTGTTCTCATGTGTCTCCGCAGATTTCCTGGCCGGTTGCATGCCTTTCCACATATATCACATTTATATGGTTTATCACCTCTATGTGTCCTCATATGTTTCTTTAAAAGTGCTGAATGCCTGTATGTTTTCAAACATACTGTACATTGGAAAGGTTCATCACCTGTATGTATCAACAAATGTTTCTTTAGATTACATCTGTCACTAAATGCCTTTCCACAAAAATCACATTTGTATGGTTTATCACCTGTATGGGTCCTCATGTGAATTTTTAAGTGCTCTGAATAGCTAAATGCCCTTTCACACACTTCACAGTTAAAAGGTTTATCACCAGTATGTATCCTCATGTGAGTCTGTAAGTTACTGGACTGGTTAAATGCCTTACCACATACATCACATTTATAAGGTTTATCACCTGTGTGAGTCCTCATGTGTCCCTGTAAATTACCTGAATGGTTGAAAGCTTTCCCACACACTTCACAATTAAAAGGTTTCTCACCTGTGTGAGTCCTCATGTGTTCCTGTACATGACCTGATTGGTTGAATGTTTTCCCACACACTTCACATTTATAAGGTTTCTCACCAGTATGTATCCTCTTGTGTGTCTCTAAGTAGCCTGATTCAGAAAATGTCTTCCCACACACATCACATTTATAAGGTTTATCATCCATATGTGTCCTCATGTGTTTCTTTAAACTTGTTGATACTTTGAAAGCCTTCCCACATACATCACATTTATAAGGTTTATAACCTGCATGTATCCTTATATGTATCTTTAACTTATGAAATCGGTTGAAGAGTTTTTCACAAATATCACATTTATAACGTGTATTATCTGTATGTGTCTTCATATGTCTCTGTAAGGAACCTGATTGATTAAAAGCTTTCCCACACACTTCACATGTATATGGTTTATCACCTGTATGAATCATAATGTGTGTCTTTAAGTTGCCCGATTCGGAAAATGTCTTCCCACATACATCACATTTATAAGGTTTATCACCCGAATGTGTCCTCATGTGTTTCTTTAAAACTGCTGATTCAATAAAAGCCTTCCCACATACTTCACATTTATAAGGTCTATAACCTGTATGTATTCTTATATGTATCTTTAACTTATAAAATAGGTTGAAGAGTTTTTCACACATATCACATTTATAACGTGTATTTTCTGTATGTTTCCTCATGTTTCTCTGTAAGGTACCTGACTGGTTGAATGTCTTTTCACATGCATCACAATTATAAGGTTCATCACCAGTTTGTGATTTCATGTAGCTATAAATGTCTCCCAATACAGAGAATGCCTTCCCACACAATTCACACTTAAAAACTTTCTCAATGGTTTGTCTCTCTGAGTGATCTGAACGAGTTGAAGCTTCCCTAGTGTTACATTTACGAGGCTTTTTACTTACATGTGTATTCATTTGCCTTTCTAAATTCCCTGTTTGATTTTCATCTGAACTACAGTTCATCAACTTTTCAGTCTCTTTTGGAATATTTGAATGGGATTCAAAATCTCTCCTCTCCTTCTGCAAATATGACAAAGAAATCTGTTTTAATGCTCAATAGGGTATGTGTCTGATTATATTTAATGTAAGGATATATAACACAAAGACTTGAGTTATATTCAAGGTTAAAGTTTTTTTTTTTTTTTTTTTTTTTTTTAATTTTAAAATTTGGGTCAAACTCCAATCAGGTGCTCTACCAACTGAGCTATCCAGGCCCTTATCAACAGCCCAATCCATTACATTCCTCCCTCCTTAAATTGTCTTTGCCCTCAAAGACACAACCCAAGTTCTTATTAGCCCCTGGCAGGAGTTTCACCTGCTAGTCCAGGGGTGGTCCTCAGCACCAAATCTGTAACAGGAAAGGAGAAAATGTATGGCTGGATAGGGAATCGAAACCGGGACCCCTGCATCACTAGTCAGGTGCTCTACCAACTGAGCTACCCAGGCGGATATCCACGGCCCAAACCATTACACAACCAAAGGGCATGTGTAAAACAGAAAGTAAAATCTGGACTGCCATTCTTACTTTGAAAATTTCAGTCAAAATTGTTGGCATAGGTGACGTAGAACAAAATTAAATCTGCAGTTACACTCTGTGAAACATTCATAACACTCTAGCTATGGCAAACTATTTTCTCAAGTCATTGCATTACAAAATTACGGAAGCCAATTTAAGACCTATCAAAAAATATTTTTAAATTTGATATAACAAATTGTTGAATTTTGTTATAACAAATTTGAATTGTTATAACAACTTTTTGAATTTGTTAAAACGAATTTAATCTATTATAACAAATTCGACAATTCATTAAATCTAATTAAAAAATATTTTTTGACGGGTCCTAAACGGGCTTCCATCTACAGAACTACACACACTAACTCTCAATTCCCACCTACATTTTACACCCATTTAATTCAATACTAATGGCAATATGGTCTAAAAATCTTTGTTGAATGCAAAGAAGAGTTCAATGGGAATAGAATAATAATTCTAATACCAGTATTAAATAGTTAATTATTCTTAATTCCAGATCCTTTTATAAAGGGGATTGACGATGTTTTCCATTGGAATCGGACTTGAAAGCATCAGCATCTTTTAAAATATTCTTGGATATGGATAAATGTTCCTTAAATATTTTCTTATGTTTTAAGCATATAAAATGAAACATATGTAAATGATAAAATACATTGTTTAAGTTGTAAATCCATTCGAAATTGGTGAAAAAATGCATTTTTTTTTTGTCTTTAAACATATGTTCCTCCATGAAACACAAAAAGCAAAAAGCTTTGGTATGAATTTGTGAAATGACAGTCCACATAACCGTAAGGAATTTTTGTTTTACGGGGGGGGGGGGGGGGGGATGTTTTAAAATTATTTTCCGTTTTCTGTTGATTTCTATAGTGAAAAACTCAAGTTGTGCCAAAATTACAGAGTTATCTCTCTTTGTTTTCCCAAATTAGGAACGTTTTATGAAAACTTATATAAATATCTATATAAATATGAAAAAAATCATTCAAACATGTTAACTTTTGAAAATTGACTTGGGGTAGGCGGGAGAACAATACTATCGTTCACAGTCCTTACTTTCAGATAAGCTAAGTAATCAAAGATGATGAAGCTCACTTCTACAAGTGCTATCTTTAAGAGAAGGCAATGTCTCTCTTCATGTGACTGTTCTGGTAGTGTGCTGATCTAGATGCAGTATCTATGTAAATTTGGTCAAAGTAAGGTTTATAGCTCCAAAATTTATTACTATTTCGATTACATTAAAATGTTTCTGATCATCCAGGTATATCAGATGCAAATTCAAGTCATGTGTGATAGTATTATAGATCTCTAGATACAACATGCAAGTTTTGTCAAAATAGGCTTAATAATTTCTTTTGAATGAACCAAACCTTCCTCACAGTGAGCTAAAAAAAAAAAAAAAGGCACACCATGTGATCCCAAATATTTTTCTCAGACCATTTTTAAAATAATTTTCTGTTTGCCCTCTATCAACTGACTGACTAGAATTGGCCAGACTCAAAATTTTTTAAACCTCTAGGAAACATTTTTTTTTTTTTAAATTCATGCCAGAATTTTCTCATCCCATTAACAACTATTGTAATTTCATACACATCTTTAATTTCTATAAATTTTTCTGTATAAAAAAAATGTTATTACAGACCCTGAAACGTGCTACTACCCCATAAAAGCATGTGACTTTCGTGCGCTTTTCGTTTCGTGCAAACCGTGTAGGATTTATTGTAAACCGTTTGTTTCATGCAAACCGTGTAGTGTTTCGTGTAAACCATGCAGTGTTTTGTGTAAGCTTCAAAGCGTTTCATGCAAACCATGAAGTGAGCGTGTGAGAAGCGTGTGAGAAATGTGCGACTTTCATGCAAGAATCGTGTGAGAAACATGTTGGATTCATTCAGAAGTCCTTTAATTTTAAATATGACTATTGTTGGATCAACATGTCATTCTGTGTTGTTTGTAACTAATGTTATTCGGATATATCATACCGATGGTATTTTAAGACTGAAAAAAAAAAAACAGAAACAACAAAATAAAATTATTCGGTAATGTATTACATATTTGTTTTTCTTTCTTTATTTATCTAAATAAAGATGGACAGAAAATGTATTAAAAGTTATTAATTATATGCACATCAATCTTAAGGTAATTGATTCAATACATTTTTTAAAGGGAGCAATACTGAATATTTTTTTTAAAAGAAAATTCATTAGGAATCCAGTCTTGTCCTTGTCATTCATTTATTTGAATATCTTCACCATTGTACAAGGAATATAGAGTTTACAAGAACATATTTATTTGGTGATTAATGCAAAATAATAGACAGATACATGTATGGCAGGTGTGAAAAATAAAATGCAAAATTTAGTGTATTGCTATAAATGTAAAGTAGAGGAATTCTAGGCCGTTAATTGATTTTCTTTATAAACAAACATATTTTTCTTATATTACAAGATTGTGATACAAATAATTTTGAAAACGATGAGTCATTTTTTGTCTTTTTATGCATAAACTCGGTTGATTAATAAAAGTCATATAAATGAATTATAATTCACATGCATTGGCAAATACAAGGTTAAATGTTTCAGAAGGGGATTTTTTTTTGGGGGGGGGGGATCAAATCAAAACACAAACTGAGTTTTTGTTGTAAACACGTAATTTATTGATAATAATGAATATCTTTTTTTTTTCTCAGAATGGGCACTTGTTTCTATAATAATTTTTTTTCCCAATGGTATACTTACTGAAACAAGTGCCCGTTATATTTAGCCATATACAGATTTGAAGATACAACAGTAAAATCTCGGTAATCTATCTCCCCTTTCCTGCACAATGTTCCTGTTTGATGCAGTGTACATATTACCTTTGCAAATTATAAACAGAACCTAATTTAATCAAATGAAATTATTTTCTTTACTAAATCAAAAAATGTATAAATCAATCAATAATAAAACAAGAGACCCATGGGCCACATCGCTCACCTGAGTAACTTTGGCCATGCTGTTCTTCACCAGATTTCCCCCCTTGTAATACCTATTGTGGCCCCGCCCTACCACCGGGGGTAATGATTTGAAGAATGTAGAATTTACATTACCCCAGGATACTTCCACATAAGTGTCAGCTTTTCTGGCCCAGTGGTTCTTGAGAAGAAGATTTTTAAAGATTTTTCCCATATATTTCAATGTAAAACTTGGATTCCCTACTGCGGCCCCGCCCTACCCCCGGGGGTCCTGATTTGAACAATTTAGAATCTACACTACCCCAGGATGCTTCCATATAAGTTTCAGCTTTTCTGGCCCAGTGGTTCTTGAGAAGAAGATTTTTAAAGATTTTTCCTATATATTTCAAAGTAAAACTTGGATTCCCTATTGTGGCCCCACCCTACCCCCAGGGGTCATGATTTTAACAATTTAGAATTTACACTATCCCAGGATGTTTCCATATAAGTTTCAGCTTTTCTGGCCCAGTGGTTCTTGAGAAGATTTTTTAATGATCCCACCCTAATTTTGTTTTTTCTTGTTATCTCCCCTTGTAAGGGGACTTGGCCCTTCATTTTAGTAATTTACACTCCCTTTCACCCAAGGATACTTTGTACCAAGTTTGGTTAAAATTGGCCTAGTGGTTCTTGAAAAGAAGTTGAAAATGTGAAAAGTTTACAGACAGACAGACAGACGGATGACAGACAACGGGTGATCAGAAAGCTGAAAGAGAGCTGAAAGCTCAAGTGAGCTAAAAAGGAAAAGAAAATCAATCCGTTTACAGAAATCATACGCAATTTAATCAATATTTTTTTCCAAATATAACTGTGAAACTGAGTTTATTTGTCAGTAATAAAGTCAGTAATGAAACGACTTTTCAATATCAAACTATAATTGTAAAAACATTAAATGCTGTAAAAGATTATGAATTACAAATATAATTTTTTTTTAGTGCATAATTTAGAGTCTAGTGAAAAAAAATTTGACGATGATAAGCATTTCACCGGGCGGGTCACATACTCAGTGACAACTATTAATTAATTACAACTGAACATTGAGTATTTTATCTGTTAATATACTACTGATGTAGCGAGTTTTAGTCTTAACTTAATCTGAATGATTGCAATTCTTAACTACTCTTTGATTAATCTGTAATAATTGAAATAAAATCTGAGAGATTCCGAATAGAAAATCCAGATCGAGGCCAAAGCATGTAAGAATCGTGTACAAAGCGAGTGAGAAACATGTACAAAGCGTTTCATGCAGGCTTTCATGTAAACTGTGCAGCCTTTCATGCAAAGTGTTTCGTGTAAACCGTGTAGCGTTTCGTTCAAACCTTGTAGCCTTTCCTGTAAACCGTGCAGCGTTTTGTGCAAACCGTGTAGCGAGCGTGTACTGTTCGTGCAGCGTGAGAGTGGGGTAGTAGCACGTTTCAGGGTCTGTACTTACCTACCAGCCTAATTGTTTCATGCTCAGTCACTAAGAATCTTTGTTGCAAATAAAGATATCAGAATTTTGCAATAAAATGCACACATTTTTATCTCATATACATTATAAGCATATTTGAGCCTTTTCAAGACAAACCCAAGAAATGGACAACCAAAATCCAGTCATTCTAAATCTTATAAGACCTGCTCAATTTTCAGGGTATCAGTTTACTTCCACTCTTCCATCATGTTTTGAAGAAATATTCTTATTTGTTAAAACCCAACCCCAAACATGGATATATCCACAAATACATCAATTGAAGGCCACTAATTTTTTATAATCTACATTTTAATTCACTATATATAATGTTCCTATATGATTCAGGAGTTAAGCAAGCATCAATGAGAGTGAAAGGTCTTGACTGTGACATTACAATAAAATAAAATAATGATATAATCAGACATGATTCTGAAGTCCAGTGAAAAAAGTGGATTTATATAGACAACACCAAATAGGCCAGGGGTCTGAGTCCACCTAGGCCCCCAGAAGCTCTGGAATAAAATGGTGCAAAATCCTGCATTCTGACCATTTCCTGGCAATTAGTTTTCATTTTGAAATTATCTTCTTTTTAATGAAAAAAAAAAATTACAAACATTACTTATTACCAATGTTTTATCATAGTCTTAGATACTTTTGTTTATCAATTCACATCTTTCATCTGTTATTTCATCAATATCAAATATTACAACAATCGACATTTCCAATAAAACTTCTAACAACTGGCTGAATAAATACATGTACTTTGAATGACATCTTTAATAATTTTGATCCTCTCAACTTTATTCACATTGTACAATTTTCGCATCCATTACCACGATCGATGCTTCTAGTAAAACTTCCAACGATTGGTTAGATTTATGTTTCTAAAATCCAAGAACCAATGGAATTGCATGATACATTTAATCAATAAAGTAGGGATAAAGTGAAGCAAAAACAGACAAAAATGGTATAATTGGAAAATATTGAGAGACTTAAAAAAGCAAAATATGAATTTTAAAGTGGATTGTGCAAATCTGAATAGCAGAATTCTGCTTTAAGGTTCATTGATGCTCTGATAAGAGAAACAAATCTAAGTGACAAAAATGACTATTATTTCTTTATAGATTTGTCAAGTTTAAATGTCTTTTTTGTTTAATTTTGTCTCGCAAGCTATGGTATAATTGTTTGTATTTTACTTATAAAATGCATTTCTTTCGGAAAATCATAAAGTTAAAGCAACATTTTATATGAGTGAACCTTAAATTGGAAAAAAAAAAAACAGCGCTCCAAGTCACACTTCCTACCAGGTCCCTAAATGGCAACCTAAAATTTTTTTGGTCGCCATTTCAGAATTTCTGGTCGCCTTCAACAAATATTTCACTCAACATGGTGAAAACATTTTTGTGAAAACACATTTACATGTAGCATATAGTAAAAGCAAGGAACAACACTCATTTATGTACATATCATGTCTTTTATAAATTTATCATAGATTACTTATTACTGTGACTTAACAATTTGCTAGGCTGAAGAAACCACTTATGAAATATAAGTTCATAGAACCACCACTGAGTATGGTTGTACAATGAAGAACACAAGTATTTTATACTAGAATTAAAATCGATTCAAATGAAATTGCAGCAAGGCTGACTGATGCGTGTGTAAGTTTGAACTATTGAGATCTGACTTCGTCAGCTGTTTGTTATGTTTATGTTATGAACCTAACATGTTAAACAATTGTTGTCCATATCGCCAAAACATGATGATATTCAAGCAATATTGGCCAAATGCTCCATTAACAGGATCCGGTTTTAAAAAGAATACAACATTTTGACAGCCGTTCTGTTGACTGACAGCATGCTGGCATATCATTACGTAATCTCAGTCTTTGCGATGCTTAACAAAGTTTTAGGAATGTCTTCAAATATTTTCTTGATAGAGAATCTTGGGGAAAAAAGTAATCTTGATCCCGATCATAAAAATTGACAATTGCCAGCCCAAATTTTCTCAGTCGCAAAAATGCAAGATAATTTTTTATTTCCTGTCGCAAAATTAATTTTTTGGTCGCAAATGTGACCATTTTAGTCGCAACTTGGAGCACTGAAAAATCATGCCTGTATAATAAAATAATAACAAAGAACATGTCAAACATAAACATTTCATACACTGAAATAGCAAAACTCTTCAAAATATGTGGTATGAACTTTGAATGCTCTGCATAAAAAGGTTGCAGACAAGACAAAAATTTTGTACTTTTTCTGCCAGTGCCCTTGAGCTTCCTGGAATGACCTTGGTTCAAGGTCTAGTCACACATAACGTCATAAACAATAATTGTACAGAGTACACTATTCCAATAATTCCTCATAACAAAGTTATACCCTGGACAAGATTGCAGGAAGAGAGAGACAGATGGACAAAGTGATTCCAATAAATCCTTTCAAACTTTGTTAACAGGGATATAAAAATACATTTAATCAGTTAAAAAATGGTGTTTTTGTTATTGTATCATGTGTTTCATAAATGACATTTAAGACAACATGTTGACTTCCTTGTACGAAAATGGACAAACACTTTGTTAATAATTATCTTTAATTTAATTATGCAAGATTGCAGATTAGATTTTTGCCATTTCTACAATATTTTTGAAAGTTGATTGTGTTGCAAACTTTGTAAATTGTTAAGAGAGAAGGACAAATGGTAGTTAGAATAATCTAACTGTGTCTCGGGACAGGCCTTCACCACAGTTAAAATGCCTCCCATATACCCGTAATGTAGCAGAAAATTGCAGAATCGTTCCGAAAGGATTTTGGAGAAAATTAATGAAGTTGCAATGAAAATAACAGTCAAATTAATCAAAACAAACCTTTTGAGACTGTAAATACCTTTCATCTAAAAACTTAATCCATATTATGGAGGAATTCAACACTTTTTCACCAACGTATTTTACTCGTTTCAAATTTACACACCATGTTGACATTCGGAACTCTCAGGATTTTTCACAGTAAATGCACTGAGTTAGAGTTATCTCCCGTATTTTCTTTGCTACATACACAATACACGTAACGCATTCTATCGTTAAACCGAGTCTGTAGGACATTTATCATTTTAACGATAGAACATTCTATCTAGACAAATGGATACAGTGATAACTTTAGAAAACTGTGTGCACCATCTTGATACAGAGCCAAAACATTTATTTACCTTCACCATTAACTTCTGTTGTTCTTCTTGCTCCTCATTTGCAGAGTCGAAAATCCTAAATGTCTCTTTCTTTTCTACAACCAAGACAAGTACTATGTAATAGGGATGGGTATTGGCAAAAATTTGTATCGTGATATATCACAATTTTTTTCCAAAAAATATCACGATAAATTGTGATATTTTTACACACAATTTTTACTACAATTTCAAATGAATTTCCACAATATTTCTTAAAAATATGCTATAAAAACATAGCTTTACTTTTTAAATTTTTATTCATTTAATATAAACCATGTTTGGATGCCATTGTTTAACTGTTTTCAACATTTTCTACACTTCCTGTAATTGTCATTCAATAGATTGAACAAATAAATGAATAATTTCCTGAATTTATAGTTATGTACCAAATACCGGTATTTTAGTCTCCCTATCACGATACGGATCACGCAATAAAAAATCGCGATATACCGGTAAACCGATAAAATCGCACATCCCTACTATGTAAGAACACTACAGATTCCTCTTGTTACAAGAGTTCAATCAATTGGATCAGTGTCACTAAAGGGAATGGTACTTGGGGCACCTTGGAGAGTGCAGCAGCTGCATGTACACAGCGTTATGCACACGATAGGATTTAGTACAAGTCTGCTCCTGATACTCTTGAAAACAGTTTTTTTTTAAGTTTCTGATTACAATGTTAAATTACTGTAACCTATTGTGGCCACATCCCAAGCCCAGGTGCCATGAATTGTACAAACTTGAATCTGCACTACCTCAGAATATCTGCATGTTAATATAACTAAACAATTGCTTCTCCAATGTTGGAAAAATTAAGTGACAAAAATCAGAGGATTCACAATGAAAACAAAAGGGTGGGCAGGACTGAACTATTTTCTATATGGAAGCCCATTTAAGACTAATCAAACAATATTTTTGAATTCACTCTAACAAAATGTCGAATTTGATATAACCAATTAAATTCGTTATATCAATTATTTGATTTTATAATAAAAAACTCAATCTGTTATAACAACTTTGTTAAATTTGTTAAAACGAATTCAAAAATTTGTTACAATGGATAAAATTCGTTTTAACGAATTCTAAAACTCGTTATAATAAATTTAATTCGTTTAAACCAATTTAAAAATTTGTTACAGCAAAGTAAATTCGTTTTAACAAATTCTGCCTATTAACTTCAATACTTCCCTTGTATTCAAGATTCAAATTAATGAAGATCACCAGTATTTTCATTAATATATTTATAGCTATACATACCAGTGGACTTATGATCAGATGTGGGGTCTTCAGTAGAAGGTATATGCCTGGACACAAACTCTGCCATCACGACCTTATTATTGAACTCTGCCATCATGACCTAATTACTGAACTCTGACATCATGATTTATTGCTCTGAAACCTACAACAAAGTAAACAAATAATTTGTTTGCATTATTCTCCAAAAAATAAAAAAACAACATACATATAGTTGTATATTCATTATGTTCAAGAAAATCCAAGTGACACCATTTAAAAGATCATTATTTAATCTAAAAATTGCCCTTACAATTAACTTAACGAATATCAATGATGTTTGGGTAAAACCAATGGGAGCAAATATTCTCAAACAGGGGGGCAAAACCTCTCAGGGTATACCAGTGAATACACAAATACCGGATTACTCTGATAAATTCATTACTCAGAATTTGGAGTGATCAGTTCATTTTATTTTTGGGAAAGGTCGCCCCTTGCATATAGGAGTGAAACGGTTCACCGCGGTATCAATTCACCGCGGTATATTTTCTCGGTTTGATACACGGTGCAAAATCTCTATTTTTCGGTTCAGTTCATTTTTCGGTCGGGATCGTTATTCAGTCGGGTTTGGCATAAGGTAAAACACGTTACTCAGTATAAATAAGTCTAGAAAACGTAAATTATTGATGACTGATAGCTTGTAAAATAATTTTTGACAGTCAAATAATTTTGATCAATTTCTTCTAGTCAATTTGCAAATAAAATTCGTAAAATATGTGACTAGATTTAGAAAAAGAAAGCATAAAACCATGTTGAATTTGTTTCTTTCTATCAAAATGTATCATATCGAAAAAAAACCGAACCGAGACAAAATTATACAATACGTATCGAACCGTGAAGGAGGAGTATCGTTTCACCCCTACTTGCATAGTGGTTAAAGCGTTAGCTCTAAAGTCGCAGATGGGTTTGAATCTCACTGTAGGATGTGGACACCCGTATGAGACCACATAAACTGAGGTCCAGTGTCGCAGTAGTTTCTGGCACAAAAAAGATCCCTCATTGCTTAATGACTCTGAGTGATGAGTATACATCTAAAATTTGCAGCATTCCGGCAATGGTGGCATCTCAAAATGAATGAATAAATTTTCTTTAATAATTCTACAGTCAATTTCTGTATCTATACATGCAGGCTTTCACAAATACATCAGGAGTAAATTTACTCATATGTATAAAAGTTAACTTGCACCTAGAAGCTGCCTAGTCTCACAAGATGTAAATTTTGCACTAGAATTAAAAAAACTGTGCCAATTTAAACCCCCGTCCCTTTTCCAAAATATACTGGTGAGCAAAATTTTTGTATATGTCCATGATGTCAGGTCCAGCAAAATACCCTGATAAAGGTATAGAGCTTGATAAAGCTATATAGCTTTAACAATGTATTACAAATACCTTGATCAAGGTATTTTATTTAATGAAAATACAAAAAAACATCTTAAAAAATTAAATTTAAAAGTCGAATTATGAGTTGTGGTCAGTGTGTTCACTCGTGCATGAAAAGTACTCAGGCATCAAAAAGACAGCATAAAAGAACGTTTCCTCACATGACATGCTTTAATATACAAATTTTATTGTGTTTGAGTACTTTACATGCATGAGTGAATTTACTGACAACAACTCAGAACTCAACTTTCAGTATTTATTTATTAAGGATTTTTTTTTGTATTTTCATTACATAAACTACCTTGATCAAGGTATTTATAATGCCTTGATAAAGCTATATAGCTTTATCAAGCTATATATCTTTATCAGGGCATTGTGCTGGACCTGTATGTAAAATTTGCATACTGTGTGTAGAAATAGGGTCATGTAAACAGGGCTTTACATATTTTCGTCTTTTATGAATATAGGTCTATTTGTCCTGGCCGAGGTGTCAGATTATTCCTGACTCTCCCCTGCACCATGTCACAATATAAAAGCAGGGGTTACAGTCGGAGGAATCCCGGATTTACCCCGGCTCCAAGAGTCATTGGGTCGAGACGCCTCGCTACTCATCATTTCCCAATATCTTCTTTAGTGATATTGTTATCTTTTAATAGGGACAAGTTTTTGTACGGATCGATAGAATAATCAGGATATTTGTTAAAGTTTAAACAGAGAAATATTACCTGCATGCACCGATCTGGGAACATAAATCAAAATGCCGATCCCGATCATAAAGAATCCGATTGGTTTCGCCCTAATTATCTGTTCGCACCGAGTGGTTTCGCCCCAATTCCTTGTTCGCTTAGTAGATTCACCCCGTAATCAATTTTTATGTAAATAAAAGTTGTTTGATCAGATTGACGTGTTTATTCCCGAACACTTATTTCCGATTTTATGAACAGATCGAGATGTACATGTAGATAAAACGTTCTACCGTTAAAATGATATTGTCCTACGGACCCGGTGTGGTGAGGGTTTGTCCCGAGACACAGTTAGATTATTCTAACTAATCGAGATGGCACAAGTAATTTTCAGAAATCATCAGGGACCTATTTACACGCCGAGTGGTGCAGTTTTAGGAATGAATTAATGATAATTTGAAAAAAGAAAAAATATAATGGAAATTGTAAAGATATGAAGATCAAAGACTGTATAACTGCAACTGTAAATCAAAATCATGAAATTTAAAGACATTTCCTAGCTGACAAACGAGTTTTAATTATTCATTTACCTGTCATGTTCTAAATTTTGAATTTACCGGGTGGGAGTAAATACAAAATTTAGAACATGACAACTAGTTGCCACGTTTTAAATTTTGTATTTACTCCAATCCGATAAAATTTAGAATATGAAATACTTTTGGGTATTGAACAGTATCCGTGTTCATTTTAAAAAGGCAGTAAACATACATGTATCATATAAAAATAATAATGCAACTGAACGTTTGTTTGAATCAACCTAGCTAAAGTATGCATTTTATTAAAAGTTAATCTTAGTAGCGATTTCAAACGTCACACAGTCTTGACCTCAACTTTAGAATATATAATTATCACTTGCGGACACAGATATAAATTAATCATAATATGAGAGATAACGATAAACCTCTGGATTTCTGTGGCAGAAAAAATAAATAATCCAAGAATCTTCAAACTTCAATAATTCCAAGCATTTAGTGTCCGATATATTTAGTTATAACCATGAGAAGTAGGTCACTGTGACCTCCTTGTTTGTTGATATACTCTAAGGCATATAAAAACAATTTGAAAATAAATATCCACAAAATTCAACAAGAGGCCAAAGGGCCACGTCGCTCACCTGAGCACTTCGGCTAGGAAAAAACAGAAATCAGTTTAGTATAGAAAAGTTTAAATATAAAAGTGGTTCAGGGGTGAAATATTTTGAAAATGATTCGCCAAAAAAGTTCAGAAAGTAGGTCATGGTTAATTATTTTTTCATTGCCAGATCCTGCTATCCAGAGGTGCATCAACTGAAATTTTTGATTACCCTTGGTTTAACCTTCCAAAGGGAAATCTACTTTTTGGTCAACTTATCCCCAAGTCTAAAGTTCAAGCATCAACCGACAAGATTTGATGATCCTATAATCCAAATAGTGGGCAAATTATAAAAGTTTCAACAAAATGCCACTTTCGTTTAATTTTTAAGTGACCCTGAGACCACGCCTTTTGCCAAAGGATGGTGCTTTGAGAATTTTTAATCTACAACAAATCCTAATCCTTATGTGTACGTTTGGTAATAATCTGCCCAGTGGTTCTTGAGAATAAGATTTTTTTTAGCAACCACTACTTTTGTTTTTATTTTCCTGATTATCTCCCCTTGTTTAAGGGCCACAACCATAATTTAGTATGAGTGAAATCCTTTGGGAAAATGGTATTCTTTGACAGATTTGACAAAAAAAAATGGCCAAGGAGTTCTTGAGATATGACCAACATTCCAAACAGTTGATGCACACTGCACAAATGGCCATACATGTAGCAGTAGCTCGATCTGAGCTTTGGCTCAGAAAATCTAAAGAATCACAATGCAAATGAATCTTAAAATTTTTATTCAAATTTTACATTTTGGAGGCCACAAGGCATTGTGAAATACTTAATAGTTTAATCATTTTTCTATATTTACATTTGCTGTATTTTTCTACCAAGCCAACTGTGAAATTGGTTTGAAAGTCATTTTGTGTATACTCACGCGTAGAAATATACACGGTGAAACTCGCGCTAAAGTGACGTCACAATGAGGCTACAGAGACGTTAATAAAAATGTAACGATATAGGGCAGCAAGAAATTCAAATATTGAGTATATTATTGGTGCTTTTAAACTAGTAAAATGCAAATATAAGGAATGTTTTTAAGTTTTGTGTGAATTATTGGTGTGTAAATCACTAGCGCGCTTCATGAAATATGTGTAACCGGAAGTAGAACTCTTTAATAGATAAATCAACAAAGTTAATAGCCAACATGGCTTAAAGCAGTTAACTGCCTCCAGTTATGATTGTCAACCCAGGTAAGGGGATATCTGAACTATGATCAACGCTAAATGAAAACACAGTTGTAAGTTTTATAAATTTAATAAAGTGAGAATTAACCTTTGTAAATGATAACAAATAATAAATAATAGTCAAAATTTAAACAAGAATAAAGTCTTTCAAAATTGCACAGGAATAAATAGTTTTAACAAAAATATAATTTAATCTGGCAAGTGAATAACAATAATCTCAATAAATAAATAAGAAGTTTGTGAAAAATTTAATAGGAAAAATGGGAGGAATGTGAAAAACCTATGAAAATAATTTATGTCCCTACCGAGTTTCCATACTTATGAAAAAGGTCAAAAATCCTATTAAATGAATAAATTAGAAAAGTGTCAAAGGAATGAGCTACATCACTCAATATGACTACTATCAACACTCTAGAGTTGAACTGAAAATATCAATGCTAATTCTAGGTTCTAAAAATAACTGACCCAGAAAATAAACAACACCAAAAATAAATAATAAATAGTAAATAGTGGTTCTAGGAATTATACCTGTTATCTACAAATCCCTAGACCAGGCTTGACTTGGAAAGGGGAAAATAAATTTATTCTATTATACCTACATCCTAACTGTTTCCTAAAAAAAATCTAGAATCTGTGAAAAACGTGAAACTAAAG